GAGCGACTGTGTGGGAAGTCTTACCTATTCTCTTGCAGTTATTTCTGTATTCAATTTGCAAGATAAAAGATGAGTACCTTTCCACCTACCTGGCGCCCTGCCACAGGCTGTACGTAATCTTCCTGGTTACTTGTAGGCATCTTCAGGTTTGTCTTCAAATCCTAACAAAGGATCCTTGAATGTGGGTTCTGAGGAAGAGCTTTAGAGGTCATCTACCTTAGAGAATCCACACACCAAAGAGATGGAGCTGCTCAAATGAATGTTTATATTAACCAGAAATTTGAAAATGAGACAAAGCATTCATTGCTGCAAGTAATCTGTATTAAAGGAAAAGTCCAAGACCGAGCAAATCAGCATGGGACTGGACACATTGCCCCGCAGAAAGGGAAGAGAAGTGTGATGGCTAAAGGAACTTTTGAAGTTTAAATTGTTGTGCCTAAGAGATCAATAAGACAAAAACGCATCTATAAGTGTCAGCCCCACTTGTCCAAGGACAGATAACTTCCTGGAATGCTGGGGGCTGCTGTTCATGTGAGGTAACAAGCAAGCCACGTGTTTTCACTTCTGTAAACAAGCTTGGTTGCCCCAGCTGCGCAGGATGTGCTTGATCATTCACAGGCAGGAGGTACGTAGGCAGGAAGCATGTCACAGTGTATGCTTGCCCTGAATTGGATGAAGGAGGGAAGTATGTAGCCTTCTGGGTTTTGCCTTTATAAGCCTCTGACAAATGTAGTTTGGGCCATTATCTGGAAATCCCAGATACGGACCTGGCCAGTATCCATCCTGGCCAGTATTTAATACAGTTGGCTTCAAATTTGGCTCAAAAATTGTGGTAGTGGTCTTATTCTCACCCAACGGGATTAACACTTCTGAAGGCCCAATGAGATCAGACCACCTACTGAAATTCTAAAGCTGGACCTTCACTCTGGTGCCCTGGGGCTGCGGGGCTGGCTGCCTCAGGAGGTGAACACCTCGAGATGTTCCAAGGCTCTGAGTCGGGTTTTCAGTTTCGCAGTCTTGCTGCTGTCCACCACCACATACTGCTGTGCTGAGAAAACCAGCAGGCATCTACAGAGGCCTTCCCTGGCATGTTGTTGTAATTTTCTGGTCTGTTGTGTGTAGCAGGAATCTTAAAAGGTTTTATTAATTAAATCAAACCTGAGGCCAGGTATTGGGGTCAACGCTGCAAGATCAGAAAAGCAGAATATGCTACAGCTTCCTCACCTCACCAATTCCTCAGCTGATCCTGTTTCCTCAGACTAGAAGCCTCTGAGTCCTCATCCAGAATGAATCTCAGCTGAACTGCTGCTCAAAGGCTTGAAGCTTAACCAGCTCTAGTTCCTGGTTCTCATGCCTTAAATACCTTTCTGCTTTCTGCCATCACTTCCTGGGATTAAAAGCATGAGTCACCATGCCTGGCTGTTTCCAGTGTGGCTTTGAACTCACAGAGATCCGGATGGATCTCTGCCTCCCAAGTGATAGAATTAAAGGCTTGTGTGCGCTATCATTTTCTGGCTTCTATATCTAGTGGCTGTTCTGTTCTCTGACCCCAGATAAGTTTATTAGGGTTACACAGTAATTTTGGGACGCACAATACCACCACAGTTGGGATCCTGATCTGGGACATGGAGGGTTTGATGGGACCCAGTACTCTCCCAATCAGGACAAAAAGCGAGATGTCACCTGCCTGTCTGCCTGGTCTGGTTTTGGGGAAGTTCTGTCTGTCCTGTGATGTGGAGGTCTGGTTTTTTTTTTAGTGTCCTGTCTGTTCTGTGATGTGGATGGGTCTGTTTTTTTGAGTGTCCGTGGTTTTGTGGCAAACGTGGAGCTGAGACTGAACTGGGTCAGGCTCGGCTGAATGTACGAACGGGGGCGCCACACGTTTGTTCTGACTGGTCTCCTTCAAGTGTGTGAGCTTTCTGTGTTCTGTGATTACAGGTTTTGTTTTTGCTGTCTCTGCTGCTGTCCACCACCACATAACGCTGCTTGTTATGGCTGCTGTGACGCCCAGGGCTCATAATTTATCTCTGGGCTTTCTACTCACTGGATTCAGTTTAGCAGAGATTCAAATGTCTTTTGGGTTTAGATAATATTAAAGTTATTTAATGCTGGTCTATTTTATTGAAAAGCTGGCTCTGGAGTTGGGTTATATGGCTCTCCCTCCTCTAGACCCAAACATGCTTATTTAAAAGTCTCCTCTCTGTCCTGTGTCAGCTGAGCCACATGACTCTCTGACAGGGATAGTAAAGCAAAGGAAAACCAAACAGCCTTAAAAACATGATTATTGGTTTCATCTAACTGCCTAGAACTTTCTCGCTAAGATATAAACCTTATCTCAAGGTTTGTAAGACTGTTATGTGAACTTCTTGTACCTCAAGATTTGTAAGTTCTTTTGGGTATGGTTAAAAATGTGTAACAAAAAATGTTAGCTTAAAATTTGTGACACAGGGGTTTCACATATAAAAATATAAAAATATAAAAAAATTTATACATAGGTAATCTTAAAGGAACCATGTGGCATGACAACATCTTGGGATATAAGTGTCTGTGAAGGCAATACAGACTCCATCTTAGGGGAGGGCCACCATCTTAGACCACCTGCCGTACTCAGTTCCAGGAAGGACCTCAGAAGGTGCCATGACAACTGGAACAGATACAGGGCAGCATGCTCCTGCAGACATCCTGTCTGCGGTTTATGGCTCTTGAAGATATCTAATATAATCCTGCTGAGCAGCCCAGATAATCCTGCTCAGCAAGTTGTGGTTCCCCACCAAAAGTCGAACCCAATGGTTTCAAATGTGGTTTCACACTGAAAGTCTAGATCAATAGTTTCAAAAAAATCACCTTGTCCAATATCCCTTCTACCCAATCCCAAATTGCCAAAGCACATAATTTCTGGCTTGGGGTTTTTCCCTATAAAAACTCTGTACCCTGGGGCCAGCTGTGGCTGCAGCATTTCCCTCCATCTGCCATGTGGTGGCCCAGGTTCAGACTTGACAATAAAAGCACCCCTATGTGCTTGCATTGGAAACCAGCTCCTTTGTGGTCTCTGGGGGTTTCGAGAAACGGGTACAACACAACGTGTGGCTGGCTTCATCTAAGCTCCTCCCCCATCTGGCTGGAGGCAGCCATATGACTAGCAGCCATCTTTGCTAGGGTTGGAGAGGGTGGATGCCATGTGACTTTACCGTTGTTTTGATTAAAGGTGACCACATGGTATAAACCAACCAAAGAGGCAAACACAGGTCTCCAAGATATTTTGGATTAGGATGGATTTTTGTATGATAGTTCTTGTCCTGAAAATAAATTCATAAAATCAAAGTTTATGAAAGAAAGGATATAAAGGCAATGCTTGTCTAGTAAGTATTGAAGATGTATCTCCATACGCTTGTATACAAGAATGTACCTGGTGCTGGCAGTCTAACTTTGTAACGTAAGAGGCACCCTGGTGGTATGAGTTTTAAAGGCATGAAGGGGTCATGGAAAGCACCTGAGGCTTGGCACTGTGCGGCAGGACTGGAGTTCCTATCGAGCCCAGGACAGGCTATTGGTGAAAATGCAGCCCAGTTGCAATGGGGACCCAGCAGGTCTGGAGATGCCAGTGCCATGTGATAGCAACCAGGAGCAATAACTGCAATGAAATGGAGCAGGTTGGGGCCTAGAAGACAAGCTGTGTGTGCTGCTGAGGGTGGGGCCGGAGAGGTGACCTGAGCCCCTTGGGGAAGCCTAGAGGACTGTGAGTGAATCTTAAAGTCAAAAAGGGCACTATTTTTTAATATTGCATGAGCCCAGAATTGAGGGTTTTTAAACTTCTTTAAAGGGAAAATTTGCAGTTTTACAGGAAATTTAAACTATAAACAACTGGATTTTTTTTTATTTAAGGAACAACTTTCTAAATATTTAAATCTATAAGGCTATGGGACATTTTAAGGTGGTAAAACATTTTATATTATGACATCTCTATTAATATATAATCTTAAATGAATAGATAAAGAAAGAGAGAAAGAGAAAGAGAGAGAGAGAGAGAGAGAGAGAGAGAGAGAGAGAGAGAGAGAGGAAGGAAGGAAGGAAGGAAGAAAGAAAGAAAGAAAGAAAGAAAGACTAAAGAGTTAGGGTCACAGGTATGAGAACCAAATCTAATGATGCAGCAAGATGACCTAAGCAGTCTGGCAAAGAGCCTACAGATGTCTCTCCTTACCTAAGATCTCTTCAGACTAAGAGAAACTGATTGAAATGTATGTCTAACCTCTTTGTCTTTAGTAACTTTGTTAAGTTTTAGTTATTTTGATAAACTGAGTCATACAAGAAACTGTGATATTCTTTAATAGTGCACTATAAAATAGCCAAGAAAATGAAGTTGCCAGTCTCCCTATGGACTGTATTTGTGATTTAAAGTTTTATTTTGATGCTAAAAGAGCTTCAATCCATAAGTTGTCATTTTTTAATGTTCAAACTTAACAGAGATAAAGCTGTAAATTCCTAATCTTATAAAAGCTACCTTATTATGAATTGTTAAAGATAATTAAGACATGCAAGTTAATGGTCAGTCACCTTTTAAAGGATCGAATTCTTTAATGTTCTCAGAACTATGCTTGTAGGCTTGCTAAGTTCAAATGTACTTCATTTACAATGAGAAGCTTTTTTTAGCTTCCTATATGTGTTTTTAAGGTTAAGCCTAAAGCTAGTAACTAAAAACAAAGTTTGTTTAGCTCAGATATACTTAATAGATTATGGTCCTGAAACTCTTCAGAGATTTGTTGGCATTTAAAATGTTTAATGGGGCCGGGTGGTGGTGGCGGCGCATGCCGTTAATCCCAGCACTCGGGAGGCAGAGGCAGGCGGATCTTTGTGAGTTCGAGGCCAGCCTGGGCTACCAAGTGAGTTCCAGGAAAGGCACAAAGCTACACAGAGAAACCCTGTCTCGAAAAACCAAAAAAACAAAACAAAACAAAACAAAATAAATAAAATGTTTAATGGAAAAACTTTTTTATGATACACAGAAATGTTGGCTCCTGGCAGTGACCCTAAGGTCACTAAAGAAGACTATGGGGCACAGACAATGCTATCTGGATTGTGGTAATGCTGACCACTGGGAAAAACTGCCCCATGCCTCACCCTCCCCAAGGACCCTGCCCAAACTGTGGACAAACAGGACACTGGAGAGTTGATTGCCCCACTTTGCCTAGACAAGGTAAGCAAGTTCTCCAAGTTCCTCATCATGAGAAAGCCTCTCAGGTCTCCTGGGCCTGGCAGCAGAAGACTGATGTTACCCTGGCACCTCTGCCCCCAACAAGCCATAGAGACCATGGGAGCCTAGGGTAGCTGTCTAGGGAGTGGGTAAGTCTCTGTCATTTTAACAGACACACAGGCCATTTGGATTACACTTCCTGCTATAATTTATCCTCAGCTCTCTGATGGTGTTGGTGACTAACTCTAGCTTTGTCAGCTTGGCAGTGGCAGGCAACCAGCTCCTTCCTCAAGGCTTCGACCACTTTGTTAGTTCATTTCATGTGTAAAAACCAGGACTTGCTTTTTCTAGAGCTATAAGATCTCTGGCTGAGAAAGACAAACAGGTTTGCTTTGCTTCATGTTAAAGGATAAACAAGTTTCATATGTAACCTTTTCCTATTCCTTTATTTAAAGGAACTTGCTTTGCAACAGTTATTCTCAGTAATCAGGCACTTGTATCTTATGGTAAATGATTAGAAAGAAAGAAAGGGTCTGTCCTGTGTCCATCCTGGCCAGTATATAATAAAGCTTGCTTCAATTTTGGCTCAAAAACTTTAGTTGTGGTCTTATTTTCCCCCGGTAGGAGTCACAAGACACCAAGCTCCTCATGCTAGAAGTCCCCAGGGGGATCACCTCTTGCTGTGTAACAGGAAGCTGCTTATTACCTTTCTTCCCTCTTCCGACTTCCTTCCTGTGGGGAGTTCAGTGTGAAATGCACCACACGGGCCTGTGTGTTTGCATTCCTGGTCTCCAGCTGGAGGTACACCGGGAAAGGTCGTAAAATCTTCAGGAGGTGGTGGCTTGAGGGACCAAGGGGTTCACATGGGGGCTGGCCTCGAGGATGCTCAGCTTGGCCTCAGTTGTTCGTTCTTTCCTGCTTCCTGAGTATGGATGTAACATGCTCAGGACCCTCTTCCTCCCACCACTGTGCTCCCTCACCCTGTGATGGACTGTGTTCCCTCAAACTGTGAGCCAAGTAATCTCCCCTCCCTTGAGTTTCTTCTTGACCGACTTTTTTTTTTTTTTTTTTTTTACAACAATGAGAAAAGTAAAAATATACTTCCCTGCTCCCTTAGACTGCTCTCCTGGGGTCACCTCCCACATAAACTACTTGCATTTCACTCCCTGTTTCAATTTTATGTTGGAGACATTGATAGGTCAAAAGGGCAACACACTAACAAATTATCTTGTCCCACAGAGGACATTTGGCAATATCTGGAGGCTGTGTGTGTGTGTGTGTGTGTGTGTGCGCACGCGCACACACACACACACACACATGCTAGTTGAGGGACAAGCTACTATCAGTATGTAATGAGTAGAGACAAGGATTGTGGCTTATTGTGATTTTTAAGGAACTCTCAGACCAAAGAAAGATTCTAAGTCCAGCTTGGTGAACTAGTTAGGTTATTGAAGCTGTCACAGGAGCACTGGGAAGTCTCCTAGGGGACTTTGGGCAGAGAAGCCTTTTCTGGTCATTTGTTCACTCTGGTGGAGTGAGGACTGGAATCCCAGGGAGGAAAGACAACTCCCCAGGATCTCATAGGAGCCCCATAAACCCACCCATCTCTGGAGAGGATGCTATAGGCCTGATCACATGAGGGTCTCTGTGAGATGTCCTGCTGCTTCAGTCAAGATGGAAATGAGCATGCCCAGCACGGAGGAATGACTTATACAGTACTGTTAAACTACAGTGCATAACACAATCCACACAAGAATTTCCAGGTCTCAAATGCCAATCATATCCAAGAGTGGGAAACCCTGACTCAATGTAGCCATGGCTCACGGCTCATACCCTTAGTTCAACTCATTACCTTAGAAATAAGGTAAATGTTGATTTTGGAGGACAAGCTCACATAGATGGCCATCCAGACACTTCAGTTTGCCCTCTGTTGCAGTGAAACCCGGGTTTTGGGGGCTGTCATGGTGGTTCAGCCCTGAGCCACATGTGAGAAAAAAAAAGTGGCAGTGGAGAAAGGGACAGAGACGGTGTTGGCTTAGGACAGCGTGGAACATGACTATGATGCCAGCATTATCATGGAGGTCCCAGTGGCAGGGGACTAGTAATGAAGATTCTCAGACATTCATGTTTAACCACTGAAGAACAACTAAACTTGTCTGTTGGGAAGCTGGAGAAAAATCTCAATAAATGAAGTCCTTGCTCCGAGGACCTGAGTTCAGTCTGCAGAACCTACATGAAAGCACTGAGCCCCGTGATGCACAGGGGGAGGAGGAGGAGGGGAGAGGAGGAGGAGGAGGCAGATCTTTGGGCCCACTGAGCAGCCAGTTTGGCTCACCCACTCTGCCTAGCTCCAGGCTAAAAAGAAACCCTGCCTCAAAAGAGGTGCAGCCCGAGAACGACCCCGAGGTTGTCCTCTGGCCTTCATACACATACAACACAGGCAAAAATAAGTAAGCTAAATAGAATAATGTTGGGGGAAATGTGCAGAGCTTAACTGAGCATTCTTGAGAAGTTTGGAAGACTGAGACATACAGGCAATGGAGGCCCAGCTCATGAGGTTTCAGAGAAGAATAAGAAACTGGGCTATGTGACCTTTGTGTCACATTTGGGCGAAGGCCATGGCTGAAAGTTCTTGAGAACACGAGAGAAGCTGATTTCAGAAGTGAGAGACTAATTTCTTTGCCGGAGGCTCTCTCTAGACAGGCTAGCAGTCAGGCTGTGGCAGGACTACTGCTCACAGTCCTTATCCAGGTCTACACAACAAGGGGAAGAGAACAACAGGAAAATGGGATTTCAGCAAAATGTCAAACAAAGCAGCTGTAGTTGTTAAAGAGAAATTCCTCTCTGCACCAGGGCTGAGAACCCACCAGTCAAGGTTCCAACTTGTGAAAATGTGAATTAATTTGAAAGGACGGAGCCTAAATTGAGACGGCGAATGAAGGCAGAAACAACTGCCTACAGAATGTTTTCTCAGATACAGCATCAAAGACGCACAGAAGCTGCTCGGGTGTGATCCAGGGCGAGCTGGCCGTGGACTTTAACAATGCAGCCTACGTGGTGCTGGTTTTGCAAGTCTGCAAGAGACCAATGGGAGGGAGTCAGGGAGGCTTGCACTGAGGGTCCAGAAATCCACTGGACCAAGCAGTGTCTGCCAAGACTCTCAGAAGCCACTGCATGAAGATGGAGCCTGAACTGTCATGGAGACTCCAGGAGACTTACAACACCAGGATCGCGGGCACCTGCAAAGGGACACTCCAGGCACAGGTGGGGCCGTGCAGAAAGGGTTGTGTGTGCTGCACGTGGAACAGGCAGAGGACTAGGACTAGAAGTATGTAACTTTTTTAAAAACAATAGCTTATAGTTCTGAGATTGTTTCTGAAGACACTCTACACTTACATTTCTGAACAAGAAATGGAAATTAGAACGACTACAGGTGCTCATAGAAATGGACTAAATAGGAAGAGCAAGCGGGTTCAGCCCTGCCAAGCCTGAGCATCGTAAGTTTGACTTCTGGACCTGCATGAAGGAGAAAGCTGAACCCCACAAGGTATTCTCTGACCTCTGTGTGCATGCTTATGGTATATACGCACAAAATAAACACGTGAACAAACAAAGTAAAAGCGGAGAGGAGGGATAAATGCATTCTGCATCATGAGATGAACATGAGACCTCAGGGCCAAGAATAGAATGCTATGGTTTAAAGTGTATTCAGGTGTCAAGTTGGCAAGAAGTAACTGGCTGACCCAGTCTGTCAGTTTGATAGAATCGAGGAGCTCATGGGAAGCACACACATCTTTTAGTGTATCTGTGAAGATGTTTCCAGAGAGTTCTGACCAAGGGAAAGGTCTCACCCGAGGTGTGGGTGGCACCCTGAGCTGGGGTGTCAGACTGAATACACAAGAGAGGATCGGAGCGCCAGCCTTCATCTCTCTCGGCTTCCTGACGGTGGACACAATGTGACCAGCTGCTTCATGACTTCCCCCAGAGGACTGTCCCCTCAAACTGTGAGCCAGAAGAAAGGCTTCCGTCCTTAAGTTACTTTTGTCAAGTATTTTGTCACAGCAAGGAGAAAAGTAGCTAATGCACAGTTCTGTAATTAGTTGAGAGGCAATTAAGAATTACACAATTAGCTGTGAGGCTCCTCTTCTTACTCTTTCAGAAATGCCTCCATGAATTTTGTTCTGTTTCCAGATAAATTTTAGAATCAGCCTCTGATGATATGAAAACTCCTGCTGGTGTTTTGCTTGAAAAGGTCTGATTATATAGATCAACTTGGGAGACTTCAGTCCCCCGCCCCTTCCCCAGCACACACGAAGCTCAAGTTCTCACACTGCTCTGTGTCCAAGTGTGAGCAATGGCAGCATGTAAGACACTCAACTAACTGGTGTTTCAACCTCCTTTCTTCCTCCAAGGTTTTCTGATTGTCATTCTTGAGACCAGTTTCTCCTCCTCATTCTATTTATTTTTATTTTTAAAAGATTTCCTCATTTTATTTTATGTGTATGAACACTTTGCATGCATGCATGTATCTGTACCACATGCATGCTTCAGGCCTGAAGAGGTCAGAAGAGGGCATTGCATCCCCTTGAGCTAGAGTTACAGATGGTTGTGAGCCACCACGTGAGTGCTGGAAATCGAACCCTGGTCCTCTGCTAGAATAACAAGTGCTTTCAACCACTCAGCCATCTCTCCAGCCTCCCCAACTTTATTTTTTGATGTACCTTAAGTGTACTTACTATTTTTTCATTTATGTCTTTAAATATTCCTATAATGAGTCATTATAATGATGACATATATATGTATATATGAGTCATGTATCATTATTACAATCAAATGAACACACTTTTTTAAAAAAATTTCCTTGATACTGGCTTTAGGATCAGTATGCTATGTTCTTACTGACTTCTCTAGCAAGTCAGCATGCACTCCATAGACACTGAAATCAGTCATGTGCTTGGCCTGAGGCACTCTATCCTAGAACTTTCTGAACAGGGCACTGTGGGCAACACTGTGGGTAGCCACTGCTGACTTGTCCAAATGATGACAGAAAACCCTTTGAAGGAGAAAGTGATGATTCAGTCTCCCTTCTAGATCTGTACTCTATGAATAATTCTGAGGAAGTCAGTCCAAGCAAGGTGCTGGAGAGAAAACTGCATATGGGGCAGTGCCAGTGTGCAGGCTGTTTCCCTGCTCTCTAATCCAGGATTATACACACTACACACATGCAGTACAGCACACACAAGAGCACAGTGACACACATGTACAGCACACACAAATGCACACTCATATGTACCCACACACATACACACACACACACACACACACACGCACGCACGCACGCACGCACGCACACTCAGGATAAATATTTCCCTCATCTTTAAGCTTTCTTTGTGAAAGCAGGAAGTTGATCTAAGCCCTTACATGTTGTGGCATGTGGTGTAATTCTAAATCCCATGTTCTTTACACCAGGGTGGTTAATCTTAATTTCAATCGGATTAAGACATGCCCAGCAGGTTAGTAAAGCACAGATGAGCATGTCTTTGGGGGTGTTTCCAGGGATGATGGACTCCAGAGGGCTTTGACCCAGGGAGTGGACTAATCCTGTGATGGAGTCATAAGAAGATGTGAAGGTGGAGAAGGTCTGCTTGGAGAGCTCAGGCAACTACAGAGTATGTCTTGGATGTTGCATCTTGCCCTGGCCTCTTCCTGTATTCCTTTTCTCTCCTTCCTGGTGACCGTTAAGTGACTTCTCGTTACCACCTCTCTCTGTAGACTGACATCTCTGAGACTTTCTTCTCTATTTCTGTCTGGTATTCAGTCACAGCCGAGAAACTGGGTGAGGTGGTGCAAGCCTTTGATCCCAGCACTTGGGAGGCAGAGGCAGGTGGATCTTTTGAGTTGAAGGACAGCCTGGTTTGCCTAGAGAGTACCAGACTAGCCAGGGCTACACAAGTGAGACCCCAACTAGACAAACAAACAAACTAACAGAAAAACAACAACTTAAAAAAGAGAAAATACAGTAATGCCACGTATCTAAGGCTTGCTTCACATCAAGCACTGAGCTAACATTTTATTCTGTTTGGTGCTCGTGCATCTGGTGGCGTGGGGGAAGATACAGGCTAGAGAGGGACATGAATTCCTTGTCTGAGGCCATGCAGCAAGCCCACCAGGGGTCCAAGCCCAAAGCCGACTGCAGTGAAAGCCGCCTATGCTCTACTCACATCCCTGTGTGGGTCAGGGACAGTTGGGGGTGCTCATGTGCTGGAACGTGGTCCCCACTGTGGCGCAGATGAGATGGGGCCTGGTGAAAGGTAGCTTGGTCACAGGACCACCGCCCTCAGAAAGCACCGAGGCTGATTTCACAGAGTGAGTTCTTGCTAGAAGGAATTCTAGTGTAAGGCCAGTCCATGTGCTGGGCATTTCTGCAGGTGGCAGCTCCCTGTCTGTCTCTGTCATGTTGTCATAGAGCAGGGGGGCTGTGGGGGGGCAGCTCATCACAGACCGGAGGGACAGGACCACCTCATCTTGGAATCCAGCATCTCAGTATGAACCAGACGAACCTCTTCAGTGTATGAAGCACCCAGCACTGGTTATTGTTACAGTGACATCGAGCAGATTAGCACACCCTTCAGCATCACTGGTCGGGGGGTTCCTCAGCAAGCATCAGCCATTCTCCCCTGGAGGCCTTTCTCCTGTCCTGGAAGATCCAAAGTAGAAGGAAGCCAGCGTCCCTGGCAGCGGCTCTCATCCGATGACAGATGGCATGGGCGTTGAGGCTACAAAGCCAGCTCCTCGCTCTTGGTTGGGGTGACTTAGAGGGGTGTGTTTCCCCTTCCTGTCTTGTTTTTTCCCTACCCCATCGTCACTTCCAGAGGCACCCCCAAACCCTCCCCCCCAGTCAGATTTCCTGTACTCACATTCTCATCCCAGGATCATTTTATTTTCCTGGATCTTACGCCGGACAATGCTGTTAAAAGGAAAAGTATTGGCTCAGGATCCCCAAGACCAAGTTCTCAGACAAGTTCAGCACAAAGGGGAGTTATTTGCCCCAGAGGGACAGAGGGCAACAATAAGGGACAAAGACAAGAGAGAGGGGAAGGGGGAGAAGGGGAAGGGAACCATGGAAAAGGGGCAGGGGTATTTGTCCCAGAGGACAAAGGATGACCTCTGAATAGAGGGGAGACAGACGTGGCCCATAGGCAAAAGGCTGTGTATAAAGGTAAAATGGGAACCCCTTGTTAGGGTGAGGTGTTAATTGGGCATGTTAATTAGGTGAGCCAAAGGGGGCTTCTGATTGCTGGACTTCAATGCTTCGGTAGCTGGACCTTGGTGGCCAACCTCAGGAGGAGGAAGTGGACAGATAAGGGAAGAGCCCTTGGGGGCTGGCTTCAGGAATGTAATCTAATATAATCTTGGTTTTAGCAAGGCAGAGGGAATTGGGGAGAAAGGCAAGGTCTTCAGAGCCACATGTTCAAGTGATCTAGTGTCCCTTCAGCTGTCATGAAATTGGACATAAGCATGGTAGAAACACTAGCTGAAATTTTGTTTTTAGGTCCTTCTGATTTTCCTTCAGGCTTGTTCTGTGTAAGCCTGGTACCTTGTTCTCTGTACTTCTTGAGAGCTAGGAGTCAGGCGCTCTGCGGTGTGAGCTGTGATGTTTCACAGAGACTTATGGACTCTCGTGGCACCTCTGGACTCTGCCCATGGTAAGACTGGGCATCTGGAGACTAACTTCATCCGTGAGCCGGAAGCTCTGCCGTTCTGGCCCCAGGATTTCAGATCTTGTAGTGCAGATAATTCAGGCGGACTGGCTGAGTTGAGTGTGTGTTACTCTGTAGCAGATCACTAACAAGAGGGGGTGTGTGGCAGGGAGGTGTGATGAGGGGGTAAGGGGCCAGCAGCTGGTGGGAAAAGGTTCTTAACAGGGAAGCTTTTATGCATGTAATCACACTGCTTTAGTTTTTAAAATTTTCCTCCTTCCTCTCTCCCCGCTCCTCCCCCCTCCTCCCTCCCTCCCTCCCTCTCTCCTCTCTCTTCCTTCTTTCCCTTCCTTCCTTCCTTCTTTTTACCTTTCATGTGTGCACTTCAGGTATTTTCTTCAATCACTCTCTGCCATTTTTTCTAAAAACAGGGTCTCATCAGTTCAGCAAGACTGGCTGGCCAACGGGTTTTGGAGGTCAGCCAGTCTCTGTCCCTCACCTCCACCCTAGCTCTGGTTCCAGACATAAGCTGCCAAAACCAGCATCTGCAGGAGTGCCAGGAATCTGAACTGGGTCCTCTCGCTCGCTTGTACAGTAGGATGCTGAGCCATCTCCCCCAGTCACTTCTGTTTAGAATCAGTATGCGCTTTTAACAGCAGGGACGTTATAAAAGGCCATCTCCTCCAGCCTGTATTGGTGGCAGTGACTGTTCATTGTCGTTCATTTACGGAATCTGCACGAAGGGAAAGGTAGCTCTCAGGACAATGCAAAGAACGCCAGCATTTGCTGTCGGCGGCCCTGGTGCTCCGAGACTGTGGCCTGCCATCAGGCCTGGCTTCCACGTTAATTTTTCCATCTGCTTTGGCTGCAGGTAATTTGGAGACACTGACGTCACTGGACCATCTGTTCAGTAAAGCCACAGCAGTGCTCCCCTCCTGAGCTGTTTATGCCTTGACAGCTACTTTGGGCTATTTTAATGCACTCTGGGAGGGACTGCATTGTGTTTCAACGAGCCCTTTAGCATTACAGCAGAGTCAGAACGGAAGTTAATTCTGTTTGTAATCATTTTTAAAATTCAGTTATAAATAGAAGTGCTAAAATTCATGGTTAATCCCAAGACAAGAAGAAAAAGCAATGGGTTGCATATGAATTTGAGTATTAGTGGTCATAGGAACATAGAGCATGCTTTTTTCTCTCTCCCAGCTCACTTCTGACAGACTCAGTTTCCCCATCTGATTACTCCAGCTGTGCCCTGGGCTTGGCACAAGGAAGGTACTGAGTAAATTTTATAGCATGAAATGATCAGTCTTTCCTTACTCTGGGGCACTCTTGAGTATAACTTATGTACTGTGAGTATAACTTATGTACTGTGATGATGCCATTCTTGGTGTCAGGCAGACCACATCTAGAATTAACTAAAACCCAAATGACTGGGCACAACTGTGAGGAATTTTTTTTTCTTAATTAAATCATTTGAAGTGGGAAGAGTCATATCTAATCCATATCTCTGAGGTGGGAACATCCACCTTTAATCTGGGCAAACCTGCTCCAAGCCTACCTAAGGACATGGCAGAAGGAATCCTTTACTCGTTCCCTGCTTGCTCTCATTGGCAAGCCCACGCCTTCCCTGGCATGGAATCTACTTCTTCAGGATTCCAGTGTATACTGAGACATCCAGCTCCATGGATTCTTGGACTTTCTGTTGGTAGACAGCCATTGTTGGACTAGCTGATCCACAGCCTGTAAGCCAATCTAATAAACCCCCTTTCTATATATGCATGTATGGATTCATTCTACAAGTTCTTTTCCTATAGAGCCTCATCTAATACACACACACACACACACACACACACACACACACACACACACACACACGACTTTCATCTTCTGGGCCCAGAAACAACAAGGAGTTCAGGTTTACTTACTTGTAAGAAGGACTCCAGGGACCTGCACACGGATGGAGGCTTCACCCCGGACCCATATCGATAGTTGGCGCCTGTCCCATTTTCTAGAGAGCCAGAGACATCTCCAGAATGGAGCAGATATTTGTTGTGTGACAAAACTTTTTCTGGGGAGATGCAACACAAACATCTATTCACCCCAGACAGCCCAAAGTACAAATACCATTGTAAGTGTTACCGCTTTGAGGGAAAAGAGATCCTAGCAGCCTGGAGCCAAGGAATACCACAGAGTCACACCTCATAACAAACCTCACACAAGAGATTTATTGGGAGGGAAAAATCTGGGAGGGGGCTGCCTCTGCTCAGGTGAGAAGCAGCAGGGAAATGAGCAGGAGGTGGGCTTTTTACAGGGTTTCTTAGGGGAGGAGTTTCCAGGGTGGAGATTCTGAGGGTGGGAATGGGTGAGATTTCAAGTCCCGAGCTTGGGGGAGTCCAGAGATTGGGGGGATTTCATGCTCAGGGATCAATGGGTTTTGGTCAGTTTTCAAACCCA